TTTTTTGTATATCAATTAAAACTACAGCACCACTTCGCTACTTTTTTGTTTTTAATGCGTAGGTACTGACACAAATTTGCAATAAATATTTTTTATGTTTGATAGCTCAAAAAGTAACTTCAAGTTTTCATATGTCTCTTTTACCTGATTAACTATGCAAATTAGTATTAGTTTGTTGACACTGGTATCCTTAAATCCATTTTCTTGTCCACTTTCCTCATGCCATCCATTAGCCTCTCTATCTTGATCGGTAACCATTACTGACATGGAAATCTTTAAAAAGGCTTAACCCCCATCTGCCATTAGCTTTACACTGTAACTTCCTACTATTTTTCTGTCTATTACAATTTTTCCCAGCAAAGTTTCTGCATCTGAATAAACAACTGACCTTTAACGGTTTTCAACAGCACCGTCGACATCAAAATAACGATCTTTCAGTGTATAATAATTATCTAAAATTTTGGAATTTTCAGCAACGTGTTGTTTATAATTTGATGGAATTGATTTTCTACCCATAGATGATCTAACAAAAGTCGATAATATTTTCATACCGATGTTGGAGATTTCCGAAGTAACCTGAAGCTTTCTGCGGAGAAACCTGCTTTTCTGATAACTTTGGGATTTACTGACACCCTGAATGGTTTTCCTCCAGTAGCCAAATTTAAAGTGGCGACCTTCTAAGATATATTTTAATTTTTTACTTTCTTTAGCAGCATTGTTGCTATACTATACTACACTGAAAGAAATTTGTTGCTAAAAGTAAACACAAATTTATACTAAAAATTTTATACTAGTGCTTTACACATTTATACTACTGTTTATTATGAATGTATGTTAAATTTTGTAATACATTTATTGTAAAGAAGATATGTTAGATCTAAATAAAAATAAACTTACCCTTACTATAAAATGTAAACTATAAGTGAATTACAGCAAAAAAATATTGCTAGAAACACATTTATATTGCTAGGGCAGCAATAGGCTGCTAACCAAACGAATATATTTGTTTTAGCAATGTATGTGGTAGTCCAAATATGAAACATAAAATATATTTGCCTTAATTATTTTTTTATTTAACTTTAGTATATATTTCTTTCAGTGTATAGTACTTTTTCTTGGCGTTTATTTGGAATATTTTCAATAATATTCACAATGTTGGTATGAGCTTTACAAGTAGAACAATTATGCCTTTTTTCCCGGCCAATTTGTTGATATCATGTGGAACAAATCTTGTGTATTGTAACATCCATCTGTGGGCCTTGAGTCGACGGTCTTCCTTTAGCAACTTTTTTATGACCTTTTTGTTGAGCAACTTTACATATCATATTACAATTATTTACGTCGGTATTACCTCTGGTTGCAAATTTCTTAACAAATTCCATGTCAAATTCTGGCATTTTAGGTAGTGGTCTTGTAAAAATATTTTTTTTCTCGTTCGAAAAGTGAAAGTCTACAACTAGTACAAATTGATATAGGAAACTTTTCATTATTAATATCAAATTTTTGGTTAGAAAATTACTTTAATAAATTATCAATTTTCGACGTCACAGCAAACACAACTTCTTTACTTTTACCAAATTTAATCTTCATACCACAACCAGCACAAACTTTTTGTCGATTTTGATTATGACTTAGTTTTACAGAAGGTCTTGTCTTCATTTTGATTGAAAACAGATATGTGACAAACTAAATTTGACAGAAAATAATGTTTTATTTGAAGTATGCGTTCTTTTGTTTTATTACAAAAATCACGGCCAACTGTGTTACATAATAAATTTAATTATTAAAAATTGGTTTGTGTACCCAATGATTAAGTTTTATTTTTTATACCTTATATAACTTATTTAAATTTACACTGAAAGAAATATATGTTTGTTTTAGCAATGTATGTGGACTACCACATAAAATATATTTACCTTAACCATTTTTATATTTAGTTTTAACATAATATGGTTAAGGCAAATATAAAAATGGTTAAGGTAAATATATTTTATGTTTCATATATGGACTACCACATACATTGCTAAAACAAACATATATTTCTTTCAGTGTATACACTGAAAGAAATATATGTTTGTTTTACTATAGTAATCCATAATATTATATAAAATTGCTATTTTTTATACTTTACATAACTTATTTTAATTTAGTAACTCATAATATTATAAAAAATTGCCATTTTTTAATAATAAGACCTGCATATAAAATACGATATTTTTTTAAAAATAAAAATGGCAAAAACTTAAAAAAAGGATCTGCTGGGATTTCACTTAAAACTGTTTTATAACGCAGGGATGGTCCTTAGCATCCCGCCATGGTTAGTTTCTGTTGTCATTTTTTTCTAACTTTTGACCCGTTCTGGACAGCTGTGCCCAGGACGATATGTAAATTTTCGACCTCAATTTTTGCCATAAAAACGAGTTATTAAAATCGCTAGCGTCAAAATACTTATCCGATATCAAAAGTATGTAGGAGAAAGTTTTAGAGGGCTCAAATACCTTCAATTTAAGGGCTTGTTTGACCAAATCGATCCATTAGATTTCAATCTATGCTCAAAAACGTCAAAACACCTCCGAAAATTGAAAAAAAAACAATTGAAAATTCATATTTCAAAAACGCTCGATTTTGTAAACTAGTGTAATTTACGTGAAAATTGGAATAATTTTTGTTCAGTAAAAATCATACAACAAATAAGACGTATAAATGCAAACCGTATTATGAATTAGTAAAAGCGTTAATTGAGAAAGTCTTTACTTAACGGTAAAAGACCAAAAACAGATAATATATTATGTATTATAAATAATTTTATGTTTTCGTAGATATATTCGGTCTTTTACTATTTTAAAATCCAGTTCAAATATTAAAATGTTTGATTGTAAAGTTTTGTTTGTATACCTTGTGATTTTTGTTAGATTTTTTTAACGTGCAAACTTAAATATAAATTATATAATTAGGTAAAGTTATTATTAGTTAATTCTGCACCAACAAATATACGTACTGAATTGGATCCTTTGGCAAAACATGAAAATGCAACTTGATCACTTAGATAAAATACACACCCAAACGTAATTATACAGGGTGTCCGGAAAAAGGAGGTCAATCCTTTAACCATATATTCCTTGAGTTAAAACAATAAGACTTTTATAATACCATTTTTCAATTTATAGCTTCATGTTCGATATACAGGGCGACAGAGTTTGAAATTTAAAACAGATTTTTTTTAATAATTCGAGTAATTAATAAGGTATTAAGTTCAAATTCGGTACACTACTTCAACATAAATAGTCACATCTTTTGAGATCAACAAAACAAAAAACAATTGTTAAATAATCAAAATAGGGGGGTCCAGTACTCACTGACCCCCCTATTTTTTAGTACGGACGCCAGTGACTTCCAAACGGTACTTTTTTCAGGTAATCATTTAGTTTTAAACATTTTTTGTCTCTTATAAAATTTTGATGAAATGATTTGTTTTAGAGATAATTTGTAAAGTATTGGTCCTTGATTGATGCCCACGCGGCTTGGCAATCTCATAATTTTCAAATGTAGTACTGGACCAACCTATTTTGATTATTTGACAATTGTTTTTTGTTTTGTTGTCCTCAAAAGATGTAATAATTGTTAAATAATCAAAATAGGGTGGTCCAGTACTACATTTGAAAATTATGAGATTGCCATAAGCCGCGTGGGCATCAATCAAGGACCAATACTTTACAAATTATCTCTAAAACAAATCATTTTATGAAAATTTTATAAGAGACAAAAAATTTTCAACACTAAATGATTACCTGAAAAAATACCGTTTGGAAGTCACTGGCGCCCGTACTAAAAAATAGGGGGGGGGTCAGTGAGTACTGGACCCCCCTTATTTTGATTATTTGACAATTGTTTTTTGTTTTGTTGATCTTAAAAGATGTAACTATTTATGTTGAAGTAGTGTACCGAATTTGAACTTAATACCTTATTAATTACTCGAATTATTTAAAAAAATCTGTTTTAAATTTCAAACTTTGTCGCCCTGTATATCGAACATGAAGCTCTAAATTGAAAAATGGTATTATGAAAGTCTTATTGTTTTAACTCAAGGAATATATGGTTAAAGGATTGACCTCCTTTTTCCGGACACCCTGTATAATCATATAAAGAATAATAAATCGAAATCAAATACTAAACCAAGCTCTTTCAGTTTTGACTTGCAACGCAAAACACAAATAACGTGCTGTGCAATTGAATCTTTGCGAACCAAATTTGTCGAGTTAGATCTTCCACCCTTTTGTAAAAAAACGACTTATTTATTTAAAAATAATGTGCATTTCGTATACTTTAAATGTATTTTTGACAAACCTTGCAGTCCAGTAATGCTATCGAGCGCCACCAGATGGCACGTGCGTTATTGAAACCCGATGCTTCTTTAGCGTATAAAATAGAGTTTTACATGAATACGATATACGTGGTATAGTTCACATCGATTTTCTTTAGAAGGGAAGGGGAGACCAACAGTGAATATTATTCCAACATATTCGATCGTTTTAACGATATTTTGACAAAAAAGTGGAAAAAGAAAGTTCTCTTACACCAAGATAAAGCAAGGTCGCCTACATGTGAAGTTGCGATGGCAAAATCCACTAATTACTCTATAAATTGCTTTCGAACCCATTATATTCTCCAGATTTAGCCCCTTGCGACAATTTCCTATTTCAAAACTTAAATGAATGTCTCGGTGGAAAGATATTTAGCTGTAGTGGGGAGGTAAACAAACGCCTACAAGATATAATATGATATATTAAATCCATACTAATTGCTATTTTACATTTTACATATAAGTTTAAAAATTTGGCTAAACAAACGTTATAAACTGTCCCTCCAGGAGTTTATGTATATGCTCAACGTTTCGCGCAAACTTGCGCGACTAATGACGCTTAATGACCGTATTTATCAAAGTGTGGTGCATGTGCTTAACAAGTCAACATTATTGTGAATGGATTACATTTTTGTTTCAGATACTCTTTGTTCGGGTGGGGATTACCTTTTGTTTTGTTGGGCGCAAGCATCCTAATTCAGTATCACGACAAAGCCGGCAAACTGCTGGATACTGCTACATTGAAAGGACAAAATTGTTGGTAAGTAATATTTAGACATATATTTACCTACTCTCTAAAAATGAATTAGTCAAAAATTACTAATTTAATAGTTATAAGTGGCTGCTTTTTCACTTGTACCATGGTTAACCATGGAATACCATGATATCCAAAATTTACCAGCCAATTCTTATGTAAAATTGTCCCCTGAATTCGAAAATATCATCAAAAGTTAAAAAAAAGTAGAACTGTTTTTGAGATATAGTTAATTTTCCATTTAATTTGGAATTGACCATATCTCAAAAACTGCTCCACTTTCATAATTTTTGACGGTATTTTCGGATTCAGGGGAAAATTTTACATAAGAATTGGCTGTCAAATTTTGGAATACCATCGTATTCCATGGTTAACCATGGTACAAGTGAAAAAGCAGCCACTAATAACTATTAAATTAGTCATTTTTGACTAATTCATTTTTAGAGAGTAGTCAAATTTAGCAAATTTTTAAAAATAGGCACAGCTAAAATTTGGAATTTTTATTTATTATAATCCATGACATTTTGACATTTTGAAGCGCATCGTTAAGATCCAATTTTAGACCATTGTTCAATTGAAGTATTTGGGGCTTTCTCTCATTAATAAAGCGCTGAAAATTTACTTCCAAAATCTTAATATTTTGCATTTTATCAACATACCCAAAACCCAAAAAACCCACAAAATAGGTACTCAAGTGGCGTCAAATCACAATGTCAGTGGTCAAGGTACACCAGTGCACTGGTTCATTTCGTCATTAAATCGAGTTACTCCAGATCATTGTCGTCCATATAATTAAAGAGAAAATCACTGATCATTGTCCGGTAACGTTAGCCATTGACTATATATACATACACATTATTAAAAAAAATATTGATTCATCGCACTGATGTCATTAGTTTAGGTTCGTCCCACATCGGTATGGTTGTTTATTTGTGTTTGTTTTATTATGTATTAGTCCTTCGGAGGGGACTTTAAGCATGCGGTCCGTTCCTACCCCTAACCCGCACAAGCCATTTAGTTGGCTTCTGGGACTTCTTAGGAAGTAAGCGTGGAACTAAAGCCTGAATTATAGATTGCCTTCCTTCCTTCCTCCCGTAGACGTGCCCGTACGATTTGTGCGTCTTGTAAAAATTCAATTTATAGATTTCCGTGTAAAATTCCGTAAACATGCGCGATGACACCTAAAATGGTTGACATTTGTTTTTGTTTATATTCTGCGTGTTAAGATTAATTGCAGTTCTTTACATGTCAATAATACTTATAGAAAACTCAACCCTCAGTTAGATAAGATAGTAGTGAAACAAGTGTCATAAAACCTTTCACAGATGGTTTTATGCACACAAGTGCGACTTTAGAGTAAGACAGTATTCTTACTTAATAAGGACCTTTTTGTAAAACAGTTGGCCTGTACCGGGCATAGAGTCAAGTCGCTTTTATACATTTTATTATAAATAAACTTTTCTTTACTTTTAATAAATAACTCATTGCAACCTCATCCAAAATAACAACAGGTTATGGGCCCAGTGTGCTAAGGGGTTGCTGCGGGTTTGCTATTAAGAATAAGTGAGTGCGTGTTGCAATTTGTCGCGTTAATTGGACTTTAGTGAAAGTTAGTTAACAGTGGTGTTGAAATTTAAAAATGGATTTTGACATGGATAGATCGTCTAAGGTTGAAAAACTTAGAGGTTCCGAAAATTGGCAACAATGGCAATTTGTAATGAAAATGTTAATTGATAGTATGGGAGCTTTGGAGGTCTGTGATGGAGTTATAGTGAAGCCAACCGATAATCAGGCAGAAGATTATAAAACAAAGTTAAAGTCATGGAACAAAGCAAACAGAGCCGCAAAATCTATGATAGTGACGACTGTAGAGTCAAAACCGTTACAGTTGTTGCTAAATTGCGAAACTGCTGAGGATATGTGGAAGAAGTTGCACAATGTGTACGAAATGAAATCGGAAGAAAGCCTCTCTTTGGTGCAGAAGCAGTTCTTCGAATTCCAGTGGGAACCTGAAGGTAGCATTGCACAACATATTTCCAAACTAGAACGATTAGCGCATCGAATGAAAGCTCTTGATGGAATGATTCCGGTTTCAATGTTAATTATAATAATGTCGACATTGCCACCAAAGTACAATCATTTCCATAGTGCATGGGATTCAACAGAAATTAACAAAAGAACATTAGAAAATCTGACATCTCGTTTATTGACTGAAGAATTGAGAATAAATGGCAATGAAGAAAAGGACACTGAAACTTCAGCTGTGTTTTTCTCGAGAAAAACACATCAAAAAGGTAGTGGTTCTAGTAAGCAGTTCAAACACCAAAAACCGAAGAAGTTTGGGTGTTTTCTGTGTGGAAAACAGAATCATAAGAAAAGTGAGTGTCCAGGATGTTTTGTGTGCGGTTCTAAGGAACATTTATCAAAAATGTGCCCAGAAAAACGGAACGTCGGATCGAGTTCGCGAAATTCACAAGCATTTATGGGACAAAGTGCACCAAATAGTGCGGATAAATGGATCATAGATTCAGGTGGGTCTGAACACATGGCAAATCAACGGGACTATTTTTGTGAGTACGAGAATTTTAATGAGCCTCTAATGATTTCTGTTGGAAACGGCGAAAAAGTGCCTGCGTTAGGTCGAGGCAAAATTCAAATAGAAACGTATGCCGAAGGCAAATGGTTTCTTGCATGATGTGTTATTTACACCAAAAATGTCTCAAAACCTTTTTTCTGTGAAAATGGCTGCTAAAAAAGGTGTTGATTTCATTGTAAAAGACAATGGTAAAAAGTGCCAGTTTTTAAGAAATGAAAAAATTATTATATAAAATTGTGCTAGAGGTAATTAAACCAAAGTTAAAAGCGCACATTGCAGGACAAATAAATTCCTTGCAGCTGTGGCATGAGAGACTTTCACATCAAAATTATAAATATGTGCTGTCGTATTTAAAAGGACAACATATACATGCGGTGATAGACAATGATTTGTGTGACGGATGTGTGTACGGTAAACAGCATCGTCAAAGTTTTAAAGAACGGAAGAATAAAGCATCGGACTCACGGGAGTTGGTGTATTCTGACGTTTGTGGGCCAATGAGTGTAGAATCACTAGGTAAAAAGAAATATTATGTTTTGTTTAAAGATGATTATAGCTCATTTCGAAGTGTTTACTTTATTCGCGAAAAATCGGAAGTGGCTACAAAATTAGAACATTTTTGTGCGGAAGTAAAAACGCGTTTTGGGAGTGAAATTAAAACAATTAACTCTGATAACGGTAAAGAGTACAATAATAAAATTGTGACTGAAATCCTGGGGAAGAGAGTAATAAAGCATGCGATGACGGTACCCTATACACCTGAGCAAAATGGTGTAGTAGAGAGAGACAATAGGACAATTGTTGAAGCCGCTAGGTCGATGCTGTATTCAAAACCAAACTTACCAAAATTTTTATGGGCGGAGGCTGTAAACACCGCCGTTTATGTAATAAATAAAACGGGGCCTTCAAAAGTGAATGGGAAAACGCCAGGTTTGGTATGGAAAACAAGCTTATATGAGTGACTACAAAGTCTTTGGTACTGAATGCTTTGTACACATACCCAAAGAAAAGAGACGAAAATTGGATAAAAAATCCATAAAGGGTTATTTTGTTGGATATCACGAAGGTAATAGTGGATATAGGATATGGGTACCAGAAATCAGAGATGTAATTATTAGTCGGGACGTTATATTTAAAAAGGAGGAATGTGTTGCTACAAGTACCTCAATTCATCAAACATCAAACAACGATTTAAATAATGTTGACAACAAACAGATAAGAGAGGTTGAATCGGTTGACAATGAAGAGACAGAAAATGAAAGCGAAATAGTGCAAGGTGAAACAGAACAGATGGTTTTAAGGGACAGAGGGTCATTGAAACCGCCAGATTTTTACGGCTGTCCGATAGCTATGGTGGCTAATAAAGATGAGCCGAAATCGTATCCGGAAGCAATAAAATCGGAAAATTGTTTAAAATGGGTAAAAGCAATGGAAGAGGAAATGGAGTCACTGAAGAAAAATAAAACGTGGGTTTTGGTAAATAGACCCGAAAATAAGAAAATTATCAAAAATAAATGGGTTTATCGCGTAAAATACAGACCTGATGGAACAATAAATCGACACAAAGCAAGATTAGTGATTAAAGGGTGTTCTCAAATTGAAGGAATTGACTTTACAGAGACATTTAGTCCAGTCGTGCGGTTTGTGCGGTTTGATACGGTTAGGTCAGTGTTAAGTTTCGCGGCATGCGAAGGAATGCATTTATTCAAATTTGATATAAAGACTGCATTTTTATATGGGACATTAAGTGAAGAGGTATACATGCATCAACCAGAAGGCTATACAGACGGGACACAAAAGGTGTGTAAATTAATAAAAAGTTTATACGGGTTAAAACAAGCACCGAGGTGTTGGAACAAACATTTTACTGAATTTTTAAAGGACTGTAATTTAAAAGAAAGTGCTTCGGATCCGTGTTTGTATTTTAAAGAGTCGAAAAATGAAAGACTTTTAGTGGTGTTGTATGTTGATGATGGACTGATAGCTGCGTCAAATAGTGATGAAGCTGTGGGGCTGTTAAATCAGTTAAAAACAAAGTTTGAAGCTACAACAACGGCGAATGTGAGCAATTTTTTGGGAATAGAAATTACTCAAACTAAAAATGGAATATTTGCCAGTCAACAAAGGTACTCACAAAAGGTGTTAGAGCGGTTTAATATGCTGGAAGCAAGTCCAGTTAGTACCCCAATAGCAACCGGTTGGAATTTCGATGAGTCTAAATCGAACATCGGCGATTTTCCTTATCGCGAGGCAGTGGGTAATATTATGTACCTACAAATGGTGACTCGACCTGATTTAGCCTTTGCTATTAATGTGGCTTCAAGGGTTTTGGATAAACCAACAGTAGCGCATTGTCAGTTGGTTAAGAGAATTTTGCGGTATATAAAAGGTACGCAACATATGGGTCTAC